ATGGTGAATGTTCCTTTGTGCTAATTAAAGGAACTAATTATTTCTTAAAAAGTTGATATACTTTTAACCATGTTCCTTTACCATGTGATCACATCATGATAGGTATCTTGAGTATCATTCGCAACTAAGTTAGACTACTCCCAAAGGTTTCATTAAGTAAAAGAAATTGAAAACATGTCGTTGTGCACATATGACTTTCAATTGAAGCAATAAAAACGGTACATGATTTTGCATGAAATGATTTTTAATTGACTTCATTTTTATAAAAAAAAGACTATGAAGAAAAATCACCCGGAATTGAAATTTACAATATTTTGAACTATATGTTTAAAATTATCTTTGGCCTTGTGTGATTAAAATAATCTCCTAGAGCTTTCTTTGAAAGGCTTAGTGATTTTCTCAAGATTGATGGTTTTGACTAATTGATATATATGTGTTTTCAAAACCATTCATGAAAATATGTTGATTGAACTTATATACTATCATTGAATCAACATTTATGTTTTATGCAAAGAAGCTTATCTCTAGCATGTAAAATAAATTAAAATTAGCATGATGAGTAAACTTGATTTCTTCTAGAGTTTAAACTCCTCAAGTGTCATGAACTTAAATTTCATATATCTATTTGACTCTTAATCTTGGGAATATGACATTCAAAAGACACTTTGTTCTAGCTTAAATGATTTATGTGATATCAAGTGCTATTCTATTTTGATATATCCATTTTTAGCACTTTAGAACTTCATGTAATATTCTCTTAAAAGAATGTGTCTAGAAGAGATAGTTAGCTTATCCATATGGAAATTCATGTAGCAAATCTCTCACCACATCTCTTAAAGAAGATATTTTGGTATCAAGACCATGCCTTATTTATCATTTTTCGCACCTTAGTATTCCATAAGATGCTTTGACATGACTCCGTGAAAAATATGTATAAGAGAAATGTTGAGCTCATCCACATAAAAACTCATGTAGCCAATTATTTCTAATCATATATATCCAAGAAAATGTGTTTTTGTATAATTAGGAGTCTATTGCATATGACTAGGTGTAATGCCACCACTTATATATATGCCTTGTATGTCTCTTGTCTTGTAAGATTTTGATCATTCAATCATATGCTTATAAAAAGAAGATCTTTGGTATCAATGGCTCATTTCATATATTATTGTTTTATTACATTATCTAGCATATCTCCAATACTTGATATATGATATAAATGGAAGTACACTCATAGGGGGAGATTATTGATAATCTCTTATAAATGTTTATTACATGACTTGTTATGCTTAATTGACTTATTTTGGAAATTGTCAAGCATGCTACAAAATGACTTGTTGGTCATCATATTCATACCCATGAGCTTTCATGATTTTGATGATTTCTTCTTGAAAATATCAAATGGGAAAAATATATTAGGATTAAAGCACTTAAATTCTTAGATTTGTCTTTACAAAGGTTTTTGCCTTTTGGCTCATTCTAATCCATGCTTCATTCTTATTTTTGTTATGCTTTACTATGTATACTTTTGTATACTTTTGCCTATTTGAGTTTATGCTTCATTCTTTGGTTTATGTCTCATGTATACTTTTGTATATACCATGAACCTCAATGATCTATTGAACTCATACTATCATTGAAATTGGTATCTTATGATATAATTACTTATATGTTGCATTTCAAAGCATATTATAGTCATTACCACAATATTGCCAATTCTTGATGCCATCACTTCACTATGCTTAATGATAAATGCTAAATGAAGTTGTCTAGGCCTCCCACCTTTTTGAGATGACAAAAGGGGAGAAATATGTGTGATGTGATTCAAATGCTTGATGTTATATATATCATTATCTCATTGTGCTTACATGTCAAATGAATGATATATATCTTTTAATGGAAGCCTATTGACAGGGGGAGATTTATAGAAATCTCTTAAAGCTTAAAATGATCATTAGAAATCTCTTGAAAAGAAAAATGAACTTATATGCATGTTAATGTCTACAATTCATGAAGAATATACAATCATGCTATTTCATAACATTATGTTCATTGAATGCACTTTAATAAGGGGATCATTTTTCAATTGCTACTCCACTTGCTTATGAACACATCAATGTTTTGTCATCATCAAAAATAGGGAGATTGTTGACCTTAAGGATTTCATCTAAGGACAATCTAGGTGTTTTGATGATAACAAACCATTAATGGTATTTATGGACTAATGTTCACATTGAGCGTTGTAGATGATTCACATTAAAAAAAAAAAAAAACCTCAATGAAGATCATAAAGACCATTCCTAGAATTCCATTACTTAATATCACATCTATGGATAACAAAGGAGACAAAGAAAACATGAAGTTGCAAGGAACCAAATGCAAAGTCCATCCAAAGATAACTTGGACATTAAGGATTAAGAAAGCAATTTAAAGAAAGGAAGGAAGCAAAAATACCTCAAAGCCTAAAAGATCATGAGCAAAGCTTGAAGAAAGGGGTAAATAGCTTGGTGAGTGCTAGCTTAAATTGTAAAGTTATTTTTGAAGTAACTTCATTTGAAAGCTCATCTCTATAGGGCCATGCATATCATATCATCATTCATATGCTCCTATATCCATTAGCAATAGACTATGCACTTCATTCATATATAATTGCACATGGAGTCTTTGCTAAAGAGTGAGTTAGTTCAAGCTTGCATAAGTTTTGAAAGAACTCATCACTTGTGCTAGAAATGCTAAGACCATGCACATCAATCATATAATTCATATTGGTCAACAATTAAGGCATGAGAAACCTTCATTACCATGAGTTGGTAACGAACATTAGGACCCCAGAATGCGCGTCATGAAAAACTGTGTTTTTGGCTAAGTGTGAAAAATGAATTTTTAAAATAATGATTATTTCAAAATAATTTTTCCTGGTAATAACTCTTTATACTTAAACTAGCCTAAACTGATTTTATCAGAATTTTTGACCAAGTCTACATTGGTCTATATAAGGATTCATTTATACGAAAACAGTCAGAAATCCAAATTTGTACTAAAACTGAATTTGTACATTTTGATTTAGTTGGATTTCAATTTTCTAGTATTTTTTATTGAATCCAAATGGGGGTACTTCCTTATTTACATTGTAAACTTAAAGTACATGGACATATTGAATTCAAATAGGGGGTACTTCCTTATTTACATTGTAAACTTAAAGTAAATGGACATATAAATTAAAGTAAAGACATTTACTTAAATGTTTTTAATGGAAATAAGGTCTGTGCAGATGTCCTATGTAAATCTGTTTCATCTGTTAACTTAGAACAAAATTCTTGGAGCTGCAGTTTCATTTCGGGAGACCGAAATGCATAGGCAATATTGATTCAGTCGACCGATGTAAACACGGAGCTTGGAACCAAGCCTCAAGCTATTTCGGTCTACCGAAATAGAACATTAATTCACTTCGGTCTACCGAAACAGAGATACCGAGGATGATGACCAACCTTAAGTCATTTCGGACGACCGAAACACAAGAGTGTTTCATTTCAGTCGACCGAATCTCACCCAGATCTGAATCTGAATGGCTATTTCCTCTCGGGCAGTGTGCACAATAGCTATATTTTTTATTTAACTGCTGAAACTCTATAAATAGAGTTGGGGTTTTCTGGTTTCGAGTTGAGGCTTTTAAAAGGAACTTCTACAGAGCTTTTGCTCTAGTTTCTCCCTCTCCTTGTGGAGCTTTTGCTCTAAATGGCCACACAAGGAATCACCAATTGAAATACATTACATATCATTCATGTGATTCATCTTGCAAACTTAGAGTTGAGCTTTCATTTGATTATTTCAATTGTAACTCTAAGTATGAGAGCTTTGATTTGTATATTTGTCTATTTGAGAGACATTCATTGTAAGCTTCATTATATATCCATTCTTGAGAGAAAAAGACCAAAAGGTGCTCTTGGCAAGGGAAAGCTTGTTTAAGCTATTGTAAGGGTTCTCTTTCTTAACCCATAAAAGAAAGAAGGTGTCTCTCTAATGAGAGGATTTGGTAGAGCTCTCCACCCACAAGAGTGACCAATGGTTCCTTCTTAGCCGTCAAAAGAAGGAGAAAAGAGATGGCTTTATTACAAGGTCGGTTCTTCACTCGCAAGCAAGAACATGTAAAGGTTTGCTCTTCACCCGTAAAGAGGAGCCATAGTGGAATCCTTGAGATGTTTTCTCAAGGCATGGACGTAGGCCGAGATTGTCCCGAACCATGTACATCGTGTGTCCCTTGGTTTGCATTTTCTCTACTCTCTAATCTCTACTCTCTTTACATTTGATTGCATATTTATTTACTCAATCTTCATATATCAAATGTTTAGTTTATTTTGAGTAGAATAGTTATATAAATCAATTAACTAGTATGTGAAGCTTAATTGATTGTATGAGAAGGATTGGATGAATGCTTGGATTAAGTTTAATGAGTGATTGATTTTAGCTTAGATTATATGTTCTATATTTGATTCATATATAGTTAAAATGATGTTGCATACCAAATGTTTGATAAAATGCATATTCAACACATCATTCACCTTTAGAGTTTATATGCACACCAAGTGTTTGATAAATTTGTTATAAACTCTATGATAATGTTTTCATAACATTTGCACCTTGAATATTAATCACTTCAATATTGTGCAAATGCTAATTCTAAAAGATTAGTTGAATTAAATGCATTGAAACTAAAATGAATTTATTTATTTGAATCAATGATGATCACACTTAGTTGCATGACTAATTAGCATGATTGAATATACAAAATGACTTTTTCATTTGCTAAAAGCAATCTTCTCATGTGTAGCAAGCTCATTGTTTTACATTCCAAATATTAAGTGGTAACTACATTACAACTAGAAAAGTATTCAATTACAATGAATCATATTTGTCTCTAAACTATAGAGAAAAATAAAATGATACTAAATCGAAAAAAAGTTTCGTTTGCCAATACTCTAGTCACCCCTAGGGTCATTACTTGGGCAACTATTTGTTTCAAAAATTCACAGTTTAATCTAAATTAAACGAAACAACCACAAGAACAACAACAACAATCAATCAATCTTGTTTTTAAGCAGAGAGCATCGGCGAAAACAAACCTAATTCAAAGAATCAACATTTATATTGGCAGATAAACATTAATTGCAAATACAAATATACACAAACGAACCCAAAATCCGGCAAAATGGCAGCTTCCCCTGAGATGCGCCAAACTGAGGTCAAGCGACAGTGGAGGGAAAGGAGCGGCGGCGATCGGCGGCGCAAAGCCTGATGTCTCAACGATGTTGCTTTAACTGGTGCTTCACGCGTAGCTATTGACGGCGGCGGTGGCCATTGTTTTGTTGTCGGCGGAGGAGGCACGCATGCCTGATGCTTTGACATCTTCATCGGACTCCAGCGACGGCGATAAGCCACTAAAGAAGAGGAAAATTGAACAAGTTAAATATTTCTTGCAACCACACCCATCAATCACTCCACATAGTGTCGATTGAGGCGAACCAGACATAGGCTAAGATTTTTTTTTCTCACAGCCCAAACTAGTGTAAACCGGTGAGCTCAGATCCAAGTACGGCGTAGCAGAAGAGCCAAACTTTAAGCATAAAATGTCGGCGTTTTAGGAATTATCCAATGGGGGGCTTCAAGCATAAAACGTCGGCATTTTAAGGAGTATTTCATTATTTAACCAAAGTAGAAAGAAATCTCTCTCTTCCTCGTTCACATGACCTAATCTGAAGATTGCTGCGGCGGCGACGACCTCACACCAAACCGCAACCAAAGCGTGGACAACTCCTTCGTTGAAGTAGTTGATTTCTAAGTAGGTTAATGTATGTATCTCTCTTCAGTTTACAAATTTCTCTCTCATCTTTCTCGCTCTCTCTCTCTCATATTGGCATGGTTCACTACTTTTTGTGTTCTGGCACGAATGAATTTTTAGAGAATTCCGATAGGCACATCGATTTCTGAAACAACTTACGTTCTTCAAGAATTCGGAGTGTTATGATCGACGCCGAGTAGATGGATCGAAATTTCTTCGGTGCAAATATCTAGTCGGTTGATCGCTGTAACTTCCGTTTGAAACCGAGTATTCTGTTTGCTTATTCCTTTTCTTTTTCTCCATCACACAAGCCCTAATTTTCTCTTATAGCAACATCTCTATCTAACTTTCAAAGAATGATAGATTCCTCACTTGTCATGAAGAAGTATCGTACCTGCGATTTACTTGTATCAGACTTGAAACAGAGATGTTCCACATACTTCTCAAATGCCAAATCTAGCTTATTCTCTGACTTTAGAATCTATTTTGTCTCTCATTTCTTGTTGACAATGTGTTATTGATTGTTGGTTTCAAGTTGTGATATATGATATCATGCGGTTTTTTTTTTCCCTAAATGGAGGAATTTTTTTATAAATGAAAACAGTATAGTACAAAAGAGAAGCTTGAGGGCATACCCTCAGTTAAAAACAGAGAGTGTCGACACGAAAAGAATCCAGTGACAGGAACCTAGATTCATGCTAACTAGATAAGAAGATTAAGAACATCATGAAGGCATACCCCCCAAAATGTCCATAAACTCCCACAAGATACATTTAGCAAATTCTGTAGATGCTTTGGATTTGTTATTATGCAATCTATCATTTCTCTCTTTCCAACGAAAATACAATGTGGCGGTAAAAATCATTTTTACCATCTTGTTCTTGATTGAGTGAAATGCCACGCCATTTCATGGACTGTAGAGAAGCTTTATAGAGACACTAGACAAAATAGAGTACACGTTCATCCAAACCTGCCTAGCAAACTCACAGGCACAAAAAAGGTGGTCCACATCTTCAATGATTTTAAGGCACAGACAACACATCTAGAAACCAGAATAATCCCTCTTTGCTGAAGAAGATACAGATTGGTTAAGATAGCCTTGTGTAGCACCAAAACAGAATGTACAGACCATCTTGGTCTTCCCCTATTCCAACATAAATTATGCCAATAAACCTTATGATTTTTGACCCTACAAACATTCCAAACCGATTTGAAGGTGAATTGATTAGATTGCCAACTGAACTTGTTGTATACATGGCGATATGTGATTAAATTATGTATGCATGCAGTTTATGAGTATTTTAGCTTTTAATTGGTATTATGTTTATTTTTCGATGGCTGATATTATGAACAATGTGCAATGCAGATATTGATCAGAAGGAGAAGCTTGCGACTTTGTCAACAAGGAGCTTAAACTGTTTTTGATGGCTAATCCACTATGGTCAACTCCTTCAATAGTTGATGGCCTGACCCGAGGTCAAAGAAAGGTCCTTTTCTGTGCTTTCAAGCTGAACATGGACGAGGACGTACTAGTGTCACAATTCTCTGATTATGTAGATTGTGAATCTAATTATCTTCTTCGTACTAAGTGAAATCTTGCCAGTGCCATTATTCTCATGGCACAGGATTATTTGGGCACCCACAACATAAATCTTCTTGAACCAAATGGCCTATTTGGAACTCGTTACCTAGTGAGTCGAACAAACAACTTTCAGCTCTCCAAATTGATATTAAAAGTTATTATGTTTGCTTTAACTTTCATTTCCTAGATTAATTTGTTCTTTTACAGGGAGGCAAAGATCATGCTCTTCCTTCATATATATACACTCGGCTGTCTCCTTTCGCACGGGAGCGCTTCCCCAGTGATGATGATACTCTGCTTGAGTACAGAGAAGAAGATGGAAAGTCTGTTGAACCTTGTTGGTGAGCTTTTTCTGGGATCGATGATGAAAGGGAATGATCCATTCATCAAGGTATTGTTTTTTTCTTTATTGCTGGTACCAAAACTACAACTCACACAGTATGTCACACACAAACCTCCCAATAGGAAGTTGAACACCTTGAATTATCATGCCGGAGGAAGGGATACAAGGCTCTGTTATTTTATTTTCTTATTGTTGGTACAAACACTCCCAACTCTCTCTCAGTAATATAAACAAAAAGTGTACTGGAAAATTGGAATAATTATAGCAACGTTTTCATGTTGTAGGATCACATAGAGCGCAATGATGTCACAACCGTATATTTTGAAGTCATCTTACCTGCGGAGAACTTGAGCATGGCCAAGGTTGAGGGTTTGCTTGAGAAATTTAAGCTTACTACTAAGATCAAGACAAGTGACATGGGCCTGTTCAACCGAGAAGACATTTTTTTCACAAGTTAGACCTGTTTTATAAGTTGTTTTAGGTCTTTACAAAATCTATATAAACACTTTTTTCTCTAAGAATTTTTATGGCTTTTGAAATCAACTTTTGCAATTTTTGAAAGAGCCCTCTTGTAGTGTTTGTTTTCAATTTGATAGTGCATTATACACATGAGTGATTTAAAATGTTGTTCTCTATTTGATTGGAGTTCGACTTATTAAAGATTCATTCCTACCATTGAGAAAATCAAAGTTTCTCTTTTATCTTCACCAATTTAGATTTGAAGGAAATGAGGAATCAATTGAGCTATGAAGGGGACAAAGCATTCACGGAGTGTTTATGTTTTACCTACAACACCCTTCTACAATGAGTAAGGTGTAAACCTAAAAGCTAGAGTGTTGGGACGGGGGAGTCGCAAAGCTATTCAACAATTAGTTCTTGGTAGAGCAAAGTGGGTGTAAGCCTGAGATAAAATCCATTGTACTTTGCTTTGAAGATAGTGGATCGTTTTGCTAAAGATTGTGTGAAAGTCTCCAAGATTTTTCTCTCAATTGGATGGATTTTTTCAATTAGGGCTTCCTTGCTAAAATTCTGGTGTCAAACTTAAACTTTTGCTTTACATTACTTACACTTTTATTTTTGCTTTGTGGATTGATTGTTAGTTTTATTTCTGTAAAATTTAATTTGATAAAAATCAAATAAAAGGGAAAGTCGACCATATTCACCCCTCTAGGTATTTTCAATACTTCTTCAGTCACATATGTAACTTGATTATTTGTTAATGAGATTCGGCCAAACAAGTCCGGATTGTGTTCCATAACCATTCCGCCTTGCACAACTCACAATAATTAGTTTCGTGCCTTCCCCTTCCACATTGTACCTTTAGATTTTGAAGAATATCCTTAAAACCCCTTTGAGAGTTTCTGGTAAAATATTAGAGTTCTTAAGAGTTGTCATCTGAGGGGTCTATATGACAACAATAGGGGATGGCTTTTTTACAAACAAATATATTTAAGTCTACTTTCCCATAATGAAAATTTAGATATCAATTATTAGAATTAAATCTTACCAAATAAAGTTGGAAAACCACAATTTAATAGTAAAAATAATACTGCCAATTAGACCATAAAATTGACAAGTGTCACCCCAACCCATCAAATATCGATAATCACATTGCAACTCAATTTTAGGAAACATGGTGTGGAGGGAAAATTTACCCTCCAATAATGACATGACACATCATCAAGTGGAGGTCCACAAGAAGCAATCCATATGGGCTGAACAAAAGAAGTAGCACAAGTCCAAGTAGACAAGCCCGACTCCATTAATGGCCCAGCCACAGGGGAGACGGGTCATAACCATGCCAACAAGCCCCAAGATTCTGCCCAACATCTTAAGGAGGCCCGGCCCACTTTTACTAATCAAGTCCTACGTAAAGAAGGAAATACAAGATAATCACATTTTATTTATGTAAAACTATACAGAATTGTACAAGGAAATGAACACAATATAGTAAAATTTTGGAGGATGAGCAATGCGGATCATAAGCCAATTCAACCACTGTAATTTATTATAAATAGAAGCCAAGGTCCCCAAAATAAGGGACATGAGAAAATTCTGCAATCTCTGGTTGTTTTGTTTGATTATTCTTTGAATTTGTTGCATTAATTTTGACTTTTTGTAATCAAACGAATTTTAGTGCATAGGACCACAAAATAATTTTATTATTTATACTCAAACCTCATAAGTGAAAATGGAGGTTTGAGTTTATTGCCAATGAAAAAATATAATAACAGGAAGAAAGAATACAAATATATTTATGTTTAATATTGATAAATAAATAAATAAACCTCACATATTCATATTATTTCTATCAAGGCTGGCTTGAACTCTCTACCTCCTACTACATATGAAGAAAATACCATTATATCACACAACAATTGAATTTTCTGATCAAATCTCTTTTCATTTTAGGTCCAAAAGTAAGGTCCCTCCTACCATTTTGAAACGTCTCAAAATATATATCTCTTTCAAACAGGTAAAAAAAAAAGCTATAATTAAATCAATCTCTCAATCTATCAGAAGCTCAATATATTAATTATCACATATATTGAAATAATTTCTTTTTATTTATTTATTTATTTTTACTTTGCTTTTATTTTTGCAAACTTTTAGATTTTTCTAAGTCAAACAATCAAAATATAAAAAGGTTACTGACTCTTGTCAGGAGAGCTGCCCTCTACCGCGTTACTCTCTTTAAAATCATATTTAAATTTTGAAAATTGTTATATTTTCTCATATTTAGAAGGGTGTTTTTGGAATTTTGAATATCACTTATATTGAGTTACGTCACACAAAAAAAGTTGGAATTTCTGGAAATGACATTAATAGATCAAAATATTTAAAACCGTAAAATTATCCTAAGGTGGTCTATGATTATCTTTTCATTCTTTAGTAACAAGAAAATCAAATTTAAAAATGCTTCCAAGGACTAAACGGAATGCAGATAGTTTTGACCTCCTTTTCAAAAGTCACTTAGATTATACACTACTATTGTTTATTTTTATTTCTATTTTTCTCCTCTGCCAAAAGTTAATGAACTTGAGCTCTCAAATTTTTCTTTAAAACGATGAGATCATACTACTGAAATCAATGATAACCCTAACGCTTTGTTTGAAATGCTAAATTTAATGAGATTTGGATTTGGAAACAGGATTTGTCTCGTTTGGAATCACAGAATTACAAATAGGATTTGATAATTATAAGATTTCAAATACCATTTTCATTGCGTTTCAAATCCAGTCTAAAATGTCAGGTCTTCACGGAATTCTTCCTTAATTAACCCTCCAACGTTTCTTGTTATTAAACCCTTTTTTCTTATTAAACCCTATCTTATTAAATACCTACTACCACCTCGTCGTTGTTTTAATGTATATATATACACACATATATATTTTCCTCTTATTGTTGAGCATATATATATATATATATATTTTAAATTTTTTTTTTGTACTTCAGTATCTTACTTTTAACATATTGATCCTCAAAGTTCCTTTGAGTAAAACATGGATTTCTCCTTCGAGTAAGACATAGATTTCTGAAAATTACTAAAAATCTATGTTTAACCTATTGATCCGCCATCATTTTTGTATTCATATACTTGAAAAATCTACAATACAGAATTTTATAACCAAAACTCATACTCCAATCCTCCATAATTCACACCAATTTTTTTTTGTTTGGTATACTCCAGTATCTTATATTGCGTTTAATAAATTGATCTACCACCACTTTTGTATTCTTGTGTTTGAAAAATCTATAATACAATCCCCCATAATTCACACCATTTTTTTTTGTTTGGGATACTCCAACAGATTGATCTACCACAATACAAAATTGTATAACCAAAAGTCTGCGTTTAACAATGGATCCACCACCTTAAATTTTTTTTTTTTTTTTTTTTACATATAACCAAAAGTCATGGAATCCAATACTTTAGTATTTGTGTACTTAAAAATTTAAATGAATAAAGCAGAATTTTATAAGTAAAAATCATATTATCCAATTCTTGAGAATTCATCGATAAGTCATTTATATATATATATATATATATATATATATATATATATGCCAATATTGCCAGTATTATCTTTAATAATTGTTTTTTTTTTTTTTAAATAAATTTCATGTTCCAGAGTTCTATCACATAATTATTCTCATTGTTTGTCTTCTTCTTGCTGTAACTTTGGAGTATATTTTGCAATAAAATAAATATTTCATTTATTATTTAAATAAGGGCAAAAATGGTATTATTTTATTTTTATTCAAAATCCCATTTTAAATCCAATTTGTTACAAACATATAAATAGAATTTCATTTTAATTCCAATTCCTATTCCAATTCTGATTCATTTTCCAAATCCTAAAATAATTGATTCTAAATAAAGGGTAAGGGATTGGCCTAGTGATAAAATCATCTAAATTTAGGTATTTACGAGCATCAAGGTTTAGGATTCGATTTTTACTAAGAATTTACGATAACTTGGGACTATGCCTCTACTGTCATACTTAGTGACTTACCTAGTTTGAGATAGTGAATTAAATTTTTAAAAATTAATCTGGGCGAAACCTCAAATACAGAGAGAGAGAGAGAGAGAGAGAGAGAGAGAGAAGGGTAAAAAAAGGGGTAATGTAGTCACCATTTCTGTTGATAACGGCTCAATTATAAACTGGTGCTTTAATTACACATTTTCCACAAGACAAATTTTATGTTCCCTTCACTGAATGTGAGTCACATCATGTCTAAGGAAAAGTAAGGGTCCCTCCTACACAAAATGTCTAAAGAAAAGATTAATTGTGACGACTTTTGTGTCCTTTGTCCAGGCCCCATCCATAATCTAACCTAAGATTAGATTTTCATTTTTGTTTTTTCGAAAGATGGATGAAACAAAGTCCAAATAGTTTGTTTGATTCCCGTAAACAATAACATGCCATAACACGATAGACAGTTGATGATTAATTGATACGAAATTTTGTTGTCAGCGAAATTGATATGAGTAGACATTTAAATACATTTTTCGTGTGACAATTATATGTAGAGCCGCCTCAAATTATAGAGGCCGTTCAATAATTTAAGGGTCTTAAGCGAAAAAAATATCTTTTTCTTTTTGTTTTATGAAAAATTATTACCTTAAAATTTTTGAAGTGTCACGTCCGCATTTCAAATCTGGTCTGTGATAATTGAGAAGATCGAAATTAAAATTCAAAACTTAATGCAACTCCCTTGACCATGGCTGATTTCTACTTTTTAGGTCTATTATTAGTACTTGGTTCCAAAACTTTTTCCTCCAAATTATGCTAAATAATAATAGCATAACCTCATCTTATAAATCATGTTGGAGCAATTCCTAAACCAAGCTAAGCTATCATTTTAAGACATTGTGGGTTTTAAATTGTCTTATTTCGAGAGCACCACAAATTGTGGCGCAAAATTTCAAATTAATTTTGTTTAGTACATTAGTTGGATATAATATGATCAATCATCATAGAAAATTGGCACAATAATAATAGTATGATCTTTCCTTTTCAAAGTGGAAGGTTGATATTTTAAATTGTCTTATTAGGAGAGCACCACAAATCTTGGTACAAATGTTATTTATAGTCTTGGTACAGATTTTTACTAAATTGCGTGTTAGTTATTTTTTATTCCATGTAGTTTATAATTGATGTGATATTATCATTGATGGATGAAAGGAATTTAGTATAATGATATGATATTTCGTTTTTATGGGTATAGTGGTGTTGGCAGGGATTCGAAATGTAAGTTCTTGAGATCTTGCTTTCGAATCACACTCCTTACTTAAATGATGCATGTATTATGAGGTCGATGCACGTACTTTAAAAAAATAATGATAATAACAATGATATGATATTTCCTTTCCAAGTGGTAGGTTGATCTTAA